TGCCACTGCACTCCAGCCTGGGCAACAGGAGTGAGACTGTCTCAAACATAAATAAATGAATAAATAAATAAACACTGCAGAACTTTCTAGAGATATTTATTGTTACAAAGCCTTACACTACGAAATAAATATGAATATCATTTAAAATGTGACATTACAGAGGAGATCTGTGCCATTTTTTAACCAAGTCATTAAAAACAGATAACTCAACTCATGTTTTTGAAACTAGTTGGCACCTAAGGAACAATATTAAACCTACACAGGTGGACTTTTCATACAACACTCATTTTCATCTCCACTTTCTGCAAATGGCAGACCCAGCTCCATCTTCAATGATTTAAAAACCTACCTTAGTCTTAGCACATTACCTTCCAACTGTCTGCCCTCCCATTAGTTAATCTCTCCAATTCCTAGGACCTTCACCTCCACCTGATTTCAGACTCCTTGAAGTCTTGTCACCTCTGAATCAACTAGACCTGTTTACCTGCAAGAACTCAGGCTCAGACCTATCTCTGGTATCCCATTCTTTCCCCCACCTGGGTCACAGTAGCCCGGCTCTCTTTCTCCATTCACAGTGAAGCATCTAGAAACAGCAGTCTTCATGTTGATTTCTACTTCTCATTTCTTCATTCCACTGTGCCATGAAGCGTGTCTGCTCTTAGAGGTCTCTAGCAATAGAGAGTGCTAAAGTCACGACAGCAATCCAGGCCCTGCCTCATTCAGCACATTGCAGAGAAACTGAGGTCAGAGTAAAGGGCTCAATCCAAGGAGTTCCCCTCATACTTAAACCACCTGACATCTTTGATTCACAGGATGCTGTCAACCACTCCCTCTTTCTTATACAATTAGATCCTCATCTAATTGCCATGATTTCATACCAGCTTGATTCTCTTTCCAACTTCTCTGGCTCCTACTTCTGAGCTCTCTTCAAAGACATTTCTTCATTTGACACAGCTTCAATGCAGGCCTGCCCCTGCTTTCTTTTCTTTTTTTATTTTTTGAGACACAGTGTCACTCTATTGCCCAGGCTGGAATGCAGTGGTGAGATCATGGCTTATTGAAGCCTCGACCTCCTGGGCTCAGGAGATCCTCCCACCTCATCCTCCTGGGTAGCTAGGACCACAGGCATGTACCACCATGCCCAGCTAATTTAAAAACTTTTTGTAGACATGGGAGAGTCTCCCTATGTTCTGCAGGCTGGTATTGAACTCCTGGCCTCAAGTGATCCTCCTACCTCAGCCTCCCAAAGTGCTGGGATAACAGGTGTGAGCCACCAAGCCCATCCTTTCTCTTTTTCTCATCATCATTCTCCTGTGGCGATCACACCTACTCCTATTACTCCCTGTAAGTGTGTGGCTAAAGCCACAGCTATGCTTGACTTTTCTCTTGACCTCAACATCAGCATTTTCAGTAGCTTGTGGGCAGGAATGGCCTACCGGTATTTTATATTCAGCCTCTCCAAAACAAGACTCTTACATTTTAAACCTACTTCTCTTTCTGTGTTCTCAATTTCAACCACAGTTGTCTTTAAATTCTCCCTCTTCCTCATCCCTTTCAGCTCCTCAAACTGAGAGCCAAGACCTATCAGTTCCACTTGTCAGTCCGTCCCTCCCTTCCCATTCCCACTGCCACTGTGTTATTTCAGGCCCCCACTTCACTTCCTCTCCCTTAATTATGCCGATATCCTATTGGTCCGCTGCTTCCTGCCATGGGAGTACCATGATCCTCAATGATGTACCTTCTCCAATATCCTCCCTCAATTTTTTTTCGATAGTTCCCCATTGGTTAAAATATCAAGTCCAAGCTGTTTTAGCCTGGCTTTCAATTCTTCTAGAGCCTTAGCTCAGCCATCATGTGTAATCTCCTATTACTCAGCCTCTCTGTGTTCTCCAAACAGTTCCTGCCTTTTCAGCAACTTTGTTCCTCACATTCCCTCTGCCTAGAGTTCTTGTTCCATTCTTGCCTACTAAAGGCTGCATCCACCAAAGCCTCCCCTTCTTGTTCCCTACTCACTTGAGGCTGGACCAAGTGGGATTCATGCTCTTAAAAGGGACCCTAGAGGGCTCTCTATTCTTTGGATCCTCATAGCATATTTTTCATTTTGGGTATCAGTTACACCATTTATACCTTTTTCCTCATATTGAGGTTAAATGGGTCTATTTCTCCACCAGCTTGTGGTCTTCAAGCTCCATTCTATAAAAAATTATAAAGCTTTTGGTGATTTTTTTTGTGTTGCTTTGTTTTAACTGGGCATGGTAATAGCAATTAGGACTCAAAAAAAAAAAAAAAAAAAAGTAGGCTGCAGCCGCAGGGCTGGATCATTCTAGCGGGAAGAGAGGATACAGGAATAGAAAGCACCGTGCTGTGTGGCAGGAAGTGGGCATGCCTTATTATATTTGCTTTCCCCAGCTGGGACGTTGAACAGGTCGGATGAATGATATTTTCCAGCTGGAAGAGTCTAAAAGATAATGTGATCCTCTCTATGTGTCCTAGCACAGGAAACCGAGAACACAACAGTTAGGGACTTGCTCAAAGTCACCAGGTCGGTGAGTGGCAAGAGATGGATCCAGCCCCAGGACCAGGGCACGCTCTGCCACACCCCAACACAGCCCCTCTTGCTTTGCACACTGGGGTGGGATGGGGTGTCGCCACAATTACTCAGGTTGCCAACCACAGGGAGTATTCTAAAAGCAATCAAGTGCAATCAAGGGATATGTCTGGGCTGAGTGGAAAAAAAAAAAGGGAAGATATTGAAGGACATGAAAATCTTTCTCCTTTCATGAAAGCTTCATTGCCACAAAACTCCCCTCCACTCTTGCTTCCACAAAATTCACTGGAAATTTATTTTCTTTTAGAAAGTCAAATTGGGGCCGGGCGCGGTGGCTCAAGCCTGTAATCCCAGCACTTTGGGAGGCCGAGGCGGGTGGATCACGAGGTCAAGAGATCGAGACCATCCTGGTCAACATGGTGAAACCCCGTCTCTACTAAAACTACAAAAAATTAGCTGGGCGTGGTGGCGCGTGCCTGTAGTCCCAGCTACTCGGGAGGCTGAGGCAGGAGAATTGCCTGAACCCAGGAGGTGGAGGTTGCGGTGAGCCGAGAT